GGTTGTTGGAGTGCCCTTCGGTGTCGGGACGGCTATGAAGATATCGAGGAGTAGGACTGTAGACAAGAAGGCGGAATAGGGAAAAGGAGAGGGACGGTGATGTGCAATTAGGAAAATTGAATCCTGGCGTAATTAACTTTCTTAATTAATAGAATCGCGGGATTGTATCTTTAATCTGGCCGGTGGAAGTGCTTCTGGCGGCTTCTGTCACCGAACGAGAGGCGAGAGCGTGGCTTGGATCTGACTCTATCCAGCGGACGGATGCAGAGAGGATGGTGGACGGACGACGAAGAGCGAGACGACGGGGGATTGACGAACGAGTGTAAGGAGAGAGCGTAAGGGCAGAGAGGCAAAGAGATAAGACAGAGAGATTGTTGCAAGATGCGGGAGCGGGAACTACTCCTAGAGCCGGAACCAACGGTGGGAGCCCCGTTGTAAGTTTTGATATATGCGCGACGTTATTTACGATCGCATAAGAATTAGCTCAGACAGCAATCCGGTCTCTTCTCCCCGGGGCAAAAAGCCGACTGTTTGTAGCCGCGGACTGGCACGCTGTACCTCGCTGGTTTTTTGCTCGTTCCGCTTCCATTCCGGAAAAGTCCTTAAATCTCGCGCGCGCGCGCGCGCGCCGCGTTCGACGAATCAGCCAAATGACGTTTCTTGCGCCGCGGCCCGGTTGTATCGATGGGATTTCGGCCGACGTTAATTTCACTCAGCTTCCTCGATGAGAATATTAATATTAATTCTACAATAACACCGTGCAATGTAAAGCTATATAGAAACAAACCGAAAACTTTTTCTCCCTTTTTTTTTTTAATTAAAGGTAGTGACTTTGAGTATGTAATTGTAAGTTTGTAGAAGTTTATGTGACAGTTACATTTTATTAAATAGTTGCAAACTACATTTATTAGGTTATTAAAATATATATATACACACACACACACATATATATATTTTAATAACATAATAAATGTGTGCAGTAGTTTGCAACTATTTATATACAGTGGGGTGCAAAATTGAGTCAATAATAAAAATTTGTGAGAAAAATATCTTTTATTGTTAAATAAAGTATAAAAACATGAAAATAAACTTGACTATCTGATTCTTTATAGTTTTAGGAAACTGAAGCTATTTTTTAACTTTTACGATTAGGTTTCTTCCTGATAGAGAAAATTAAAAAACATAGAATCAATTTTGCACCAGAATTTTTTTCTATTTAACAATGAAAAATATTTTTCTCAAAAATTTTTGTTATTGACTCAATTTTGCACCTCACTGTATATAGTTCAGTATAATGTAGCTCTAAATTCTAATAATTCTAAACAGTTCTGTGTATAATTCCATACGGAACTATTTAGAATTATTATTACTCGATGTATGTACATTTCGTTGCCAAAAATTCGTAACATCGCGACGCAACGGGAAAGAAAAATCGAAGAGATCTCGAAGAACCTCTGGACGGGGCGTTGAATTCGAGGGTATCGAAAGTTTGTTCAAGTAACCTCACGTTCCACGGAAGAAACACGGAAGAGGAGACGACCGAAACATTCGCTCGACTTCTGAACGAGATCGTCGCGGACGAATTATGCCGGCCGCGTGAAAAATTAACGAGGGATCGTTTTCGACGGTTCCGGACGTTCGTTAGAAAGCCGAGCGGCAAGTCATTTTTCTCTCCGGGTTCCTTTTACAGCCGCCGGCAGATTAATTAATCACACCGTGCCGATTTCGTTCGACCGCGGCGGATCGATTAATAAAACCGAAGCCCGGACTCGCTCGTTATTTAAGTTAACTTTCACGCGCGGTGCAGTTAATTACGCCGATCGATGGGACCCGCATATTTTTGACGTTCGGCGATGCACCCGCGGAAACTCGTTTTGACGAGGCGCCTTTAATCCCCGTCACCCGGGGATACAAACAATGAGCCACGAATCCACGATGAAACGCGTAAACTTGTAATCCGTTCGAAATGATACAGTAACTCGACGCGGACGTCTGATTTATGATCTTATGGTCAACGCTTGTTTTCATCGTGGAATCTGTCCGAACACGTTGATAATATTACGTAATATTTTCTATGTATTTTGTAAACAAATCTTCACTGTTAACCGAAGATTATTATTTAACTTACTACCATCGTGCGGTTTAGCGAAACTTCGTCAGTTTGTTATCGAGACTTTGAGTGTGGTGTAGCGAAAAATGACAAAGTGACTCGTTCCAATTGAAGTTTTAAAAGGAATTGTGCTAGAGAATGGTGTATCATCGCGTTGTTTCAGAGGTAAGTCGATATTTCCGATTTTACTAATCCTTTTCAACTCTCGTTAAAATAGTTCAAGAGTTTGATGAGAAAAACGAGAGTCGCATAAGAAATTAAAAATACGTTTCTTATTAACTTTTCAATAGATCTGATAAGATCTATGATCATACATTGATACAATTTGTATGAAAGCTGATTACATCGTGCTTCGAAGAAATTTGTCAATTCTGTTTATCAGATAAAATGTAAAATTCATCTACTAAACTAATACTGAAACACATTCATACTGTTGATTGATGTATCATTTGATATAAATTAATTATTTCAGGTATCTCAACTCCAACACCGACTAAACATTCCAGAGGTTAATTAATTAATTCCCACTCTCGTGCGTGAAATTTCATACCGCGGCCAATGTTTCTTCAACGTTATTGCTCCGTGATTATAATCACGAATACTTGCAATAACTGCAAATTGTAACGTTTCTCCAGTTTTTTCTACAGCACGCTAAATTCCATTCGACGTAAATTTTATCCACGATAACATGAATTTCTCTTCAACCCATTTTGACGAACGATCTCCTAACTAGATCGTTTCCTTCTCGAGCCGCGAGAATTTACAATTACACGATGTTTCATCGAGATACGCAATTTACGCGGCATTTATAGCGCTATTTACGAGGGAGTATTTGCGTCAGGTTGAGCTCGTAAAAATCATCTCGATGCCGAAGCGGCCAGTGACTGGTAGCGTTTAATTCCAGTCGGGCGGTAATTCTTTTCGAAAGCAGCTACTCGACCGGATCCATAAACTCGCGTAAATTCGCAATTTGAAAAACCGTGCGGCGAATCGGCCGGGAAACACTCTGATTTATCAACGCGATCGATATCTCTCGCTCTGTATCGATACGGGGGAGAGGTGCGGAATGTTGCACGCCCGGCGATAATCAACGACGCTTTCTCGTTCGTTTTTCATTTAGCTGCGAAACAAGTATTTTATATGGAAACTGATCGATCAATTTACCAGTTTTTCATACGGCGATCGTCCACTTCTTGTTTTTTTTTTTTTTTTTTTTTTTTTTTTCCCCTCCCACTAACAGCCCCGCTGCATATTTCCAGCTGATCGTATTTCTCTGTTACCGAACGAGTTTTGTTTCGTATTTAGGGAAAATGGAAATCGTTATTAACTTAGGAAATTAGCAATCTCTCGTTTCGCGTTCCATAGCGTTCAATCGTGAGAATTAGAAATTCGAAAAATAGAATTTTCGAATCTGTTCTACTATTCTCGTAAATTCGAGGAACTGCCGCTCTGATAATTGCCTCGAAAGCCACCAAAACGTAAACGTAAACGTGCATTAACAAAAATGATAAAACAGCAAATTGTGTGTGATTTCATGGATCGAAGAACAAAGACCGCAGCGATGTTACAAAAAAAAAAAGAAAATAATTCCAGAAACTCGCGAAGCAGCTCTAACAATCAGCGGGAGCAGAGACAAAACCCCGACACCGAGGACAGTGTCTCTCGCAAGCTTGGTGAAATCGGTGAAATCCGCGACGGTGAAGACGGTTGGTTTGCCTATAAACCGCGTAAATTCGCAATCTGCGAAACTACGAAACGAGTCGGCGAAGTTGTGATTTACGGCGCGTTCCGTCGCCCCGTACACGGGACGAAAGAAAAGGGATGGCCCGGGTTGCCGCCTACGTACACACACACACACACACACACACGCACACGCACACTTGTACACGTGCGACGAGGGTGAAACGAGGGTGGGACGACGGTGGGCGTCGGTAGCCCGGGAAAAATGCGATGTCGCGTGGCCCGCTGCTTCCTCGCTATAACTTTCGAAGGAAAATTCACGATAATAGAGACTACCGCCTGTGAATTCCGCATGCAAGTGTGCTTATGCCACTGCTCTGCCCTCCGCGAGCTCTCCTTTTCACCGAATCTCTCCGGCCGTAGCCTCTCTTTCCCCTATCCTCTTCCTCCCTATCCTTCTCGCGGCACTCCTCCTCCCTTTTCTCGACGGCGCGGACGCGGGATGTTTTTCCCCTCTTCCTTTGCGGAAGGACCCCGGAACGACGTCCACGGCGGGCTAAGGGAGGCTGAGCTAGACAAATAGTCGCGTCGTGAAATACCGCCGCCTCCTTAAAACTTTAAAGTGTTTCGAGTAATCCTGAGGCGCGACTTTAGATCACGGGGTATCACCCACCCACCTCGTGTACTCCAACCCCTACGTTCCGCCTCTTTCCTCTCTTTTCTTCTCCTTCTTCTCCCGAAGATTGCTACGATTTTTTTTTTTTCTTTTTATTTTCTACTCTCTGTACGGTTGCGGACGTGGCGTGCACGAAGACGTTACGGCGAATCGAATACAAATGGTCGCGTCGGCCGCTTGTAATCGGCTCCGATGAGCTTCACGGAGAAAGGCCGTTGCTCCGAGGGGTTTGATCGCGCTGCAACGACGATTTAGAGTTTGCTTTTATAGCGGCAATTTGCACTGAACGTCCGCCATTACGCGGAGAGGCGGTTCGTACGATACTCCGATCGTATATATATATATTTTTTTTCTCTCTCTCCACCCGCCGACCTTAACCGCGATGCGGCTTGCGTCGTTAAATTGGATTTAAATCGCACGGCGTTCGGAATGAGGATGTATAGAGCGTAGACGAGCGTGGAAAAACTCCAGGTTTAACAGAAAGAACTTTCGTTCGAAATATCGGGTGAAATTCCGAGGAAACACAACGCTAACCTGGTTCGACGATCAGCATTACAGTGTCCGTTCGTCCCTCGGTCGGCCTGCACGAGTATTTCCCGACGTCGCGCGGCGTCACCGTCGCCAGAGTCAATTCCGAGACCGTTCGTGCCGCGCCTCTTTCTGTCTCCACGCTTATTCCACCTCGTGCAGCCTGCGAACAATGCAAACAGAGGAAATGCAACGTGAAATTTGGTACACAACGCAACGCAACTGATCATCCTTTCCCATTTTCTGTTCTTCTTTTCCCGCGTTTTCTCTGGCGATGCCGATGAAACGTGAACGGTTACCTGGTTACGGCGCCAATCAATCCACGAATCGTTAAGTACATATTTGCAATTAATACCGTTTTATCGCGAGAGAGAGAGAGAGAGAGCGCGCTTTCGCGTGCGCGCACACACACACGCACATTTACATCGTACGCACCAGTTGTTGACCGGACGAATATCACGATCGAAAAATGTCGCGAGTGTGGAAAATTAAATAAATCTCTCCGGCTCCGACCCTCACGCGAAACGTTCGCAGTTTGTAATTTCGTAATAAATCTGCCGAGATGAATTGCGCGTAGTCTGGTGGCGGATAAATTTTCAGCTGTTCGCCCTATCGCGGCCTCGATCGCGTTTTTCTTTTTTTTTTTTCATCCCGCTATGAACCGATTTGAACGTTCGTTGTGATTACTTGAATTTCGTTGCGAATGAAAAGAAAAGGGGAAGAAAGGTTTTAAGTTTCGTTCGCACCAAAAATGATTTGTTTCAAAAATTCCCTCCTTTTTTTCTTTTATTGTTCGATCGTGTTTTCAATCTCTCGAGGCGTTTAAACAGAAATCTTGCAAGCCAAGAGGGAGGGGTTGGAAGTTCGCGCGAGTCGCGTCTCCCTGTCACCGCGATGATTTACGATCGTACTTCTTTCGTTCGGGATGAGACATTCTCGAGAAAGAGAGAGAAAGAGAGTAAGTGGAAAGAGTTGGACGTCGAAAGAAGAGGACTCAGTGTAAAAAATTTCATTAGAGTCCGTCTCTGGAGAAGACGCGAGGCTGTATTACCTGGAATGTTAGGAGTTTGTTATCCCGGAGCCATTGCACCCCTCTGATGGGCCGAGTCTGATACGGGGACAATATGACGCACCTCAAGGTGATCGTTGACCCGGATGGCACCCTTTGCTCCCGTGGGCCCATTATAGCTGCCACTGGCGCCGTGCTCTCGTAACCTGCAAGCCATGTATGGACAAATATCATACGACGGGCAGCATCTTTTGATGAAAAGTTTCGTTTCAGATACGGTTCATGCTTGCGCTTTTGCGTCACAGTTAGTCATATGAAACATACTTCTTTGAAATTTACTACGTTCTCCGAACAATTTAGTGGGTTGGATCGTACCTTTACGTTACGATTATTTAGAAAAAATGATTTGGTAAAAATTTCATATGTTCCAGGCATAGTTTAGTGAGTTAAAAATATCTCTGAATTGAAATTGTATAAAATACACGATTCAACGCTAGAACTATCGACGACTAAAGTATAATATTTATAGCAAAGGAATTAAAGTGCAGGGCACAAGAAGAAGTTAATAATACAATAATAATACAATAATACAAGAACACAAACTTGTTAACATGTTTCATTAAAAATACACTGTCACAAATACGTAAAATTTCCACGGAAAATTCAAAATTGATTATTTTGACCGCTGTGGTAGTTCTAGTGTTAATAAAAATATAGCGTGTTCTACCGATCTCGTGAAGTCATGAAGTCACAACGATAGAATCTGTTCACTGACACTTCAAGACCAATCATTCATTATAAATGAATCTTTTTGCAGAACAATTTAAAGAAGAACGTCCTCTTATTATAAATGATACACATATTCTTCGATAGTGTAATTTGAACAATAATGTCGTCAACGTCATTGACCCAGTTTAATCATCGGTACCAAAAATAAGAGACATATCGCTCCATCTTCCAAATCTGCGATATATGATTGATTAATGAATGAAATAATTTCCGGAGTCGTTCGTGCTCCCTGAAACAATAACTTGGCGAGAGATCATCAAGACCTTTGCGAGTTTCGTCCACTCGAAAGCTCCGTTCCCGTGGCGTCCCGTTTGAACAAAGATATCCGGGCCGGTGTGCGTTTGAAACAATGTTAAACAGCTTATGGGCCGGAGATCCGAGAAGAAAGTAATTACACGGGAGAGAGTAAAAAGAAAAAAAAAAAGAAATGAAAAAAATGTAAAAAAAGGACGGAGCGTGTTTCATGCCTTGGCTGGCTGAAAAAGTAGATTCATTAAAAACCGCGTGCGGCACGACTTCAGTCGAGATTTACGGAACGATGTGACCGAACGAGAAACAGGAAACTCCACTCCCCGAAAGAAACCACCGGGCGCTAATAATTCGTCGCTTTCATTTATCCGAGCCAACTACTTGGGTCGAATTAATTATCGCTAAGGAGAAAAATACCGTCCGGCGGTGGAGGTGGGAGGGGGCCGAGGGAACGGCAATTCATCTTAAAATCCCGACAAGTTTTTTAATTGGCAGCAAGCCGAGTCGACTTGTTACTATCGATTGTTGCTAATTGACACGATCCTGTTTTAATATTTCTCGCCGTCGTCGAACTGAACGCCAACGTCCGCCGCGTAAGAAGAATCCACCGTTAATGAACCGCTATAACACGCGCCATTAAGGACGAGTCGGCGACGAGTGTTACGCGATAATTTTAATTAATGAGAGCGTTGGCTTTCTCCTCTTGAGAGACTGCACACGGGACGATGACGACGACGACGATGATGACGACGACGACGACGGTGCATGCGACAGCTTTACAAAGTAAAGCTTTTCAACCGGTGAAAGAGAACATGGCAGCGTAACACGCCAGGTTTTTTCTCCCTCCCTCGCCTCCTGCAGGACGCGGTACGTACTGTCAAGTTTGTACGTTTTAATTTAGAGGGTCGGCGCAAGTGGCCGTTTAATATGCGTGCCACCGTGAAACGACGTGTTCCTCTCTCGCGACACGACGCCGTGTTTCGTTCGCCCCAGTTCTCGCCGAGAATCGAACCGGGCCGACCTCGCGCCGAAAGGGAGATCGATCCCGAGAAACTTCCCTCGACTTGCCATGTTGAATTTAACAAAGATGGAAGGGCCAAGGGAATCTTCTGAAGTGTGAAGGGTGTCTGAATCGTCAGGAGTAGCCTGAAAAAAAAAAACGCCCTTTGAACGCCTGAAGACACCGAAGACGGCGAGGAGGGATCACAATTACAATTCGAGACTCGGGGTCTCGCTGTATCGGGGCGCGACTCATTTCCAACAGACTCCGCCGGTTGGGAAAATAAAAAGACACCGAGGAGCAGGAAGTGGAAGAAACGAGGAAGAAGAAGAGGAGGAGGAGTAGAAGAGGCTCTGCCTCGTCGTTCGTTTCAGGTAGCTGGATTCCCGAGCCCGGAAATTGCAGTTTGAAGTGCGAAGAAACAAGAGAACCGTCTCGCGTACAGGGACAACGGGAGGCGGTCTAATAATTCATTACGAGGCGAAAGGGAAAAACAATGGGCGTCGGTGGCTGCGCGTCTCGTAAGAGACGACCCTACACCATGGTGTATGATAATGTCGGAACAAGCATACATTATTCAGCGCGATGAAGACAGGGGCGAGAACGAGAGAGAGAGAGAGAGAGAGAGAGAGAGAGAGAGTCGATGGTCGAGACTCATTTAACGCCACGTTCCCTAGCTACAGGAGCTCGTGGAAGCGGCAGGTTATGGCCACGCCAGGTGACGAGGAAAAAGACCGACCGGTAGAACCGGAGGAGGTTTTCCACGACTACCAGGATTAAGGATAATCCTATTAGACTTGAATTAATCCCCAGGGAACTGCATTTCACCTCGGCGAAATATTACGTTATGCCGTTATTACTGTACACGGCCGCGGCAGCCTGTTTTTCCTTTACCGGCTCCCAGCTTTCTTCACGGCGCGTTCGCCGCCCGCTAACTTCGATGATAATTGCCCCACCGTCGCGATCTTTTATTATTATTCGACGGCGCCTGCTACGCCTCGCCGCGCACTTCGTGGCAAATGGAAAAACAGCTTGGTCCTCTCTCGAGGAAATAATCTTTCCGACGCGGTGGCTTTTTCGAGAATTTCGGACGAAGTTTATCTCGTCTTTCCGGTACTCACGTCGGAGAGGGTAATTTGATTTCGAGCAAAGCTGCAGCTCCATGGCGCGATTTTAAATTTGCGATCTTTCAGAAAACGTCACCATTTGTAGCCAAGTTTCGCCAATAGTGAGAATGCTTTCTACAGACAAAAAAAAAAAAAAAAAAAAGAAATTCTACAAGCGTAACATCGCTCATACATTATCTGCCATTATCCGTTATTTTCCCATCTCTCGAGTGCCATCTAAAATAATTTTCGAAGGAAACACGGCGCTTATTCCACTGTCGTCGAAAGTTTCGATTGATCAATCATCGATTCGCAGCTGTCTCCCCTGTCACTGCGCGAGCAATTTTCGTTAAAAGCACTTTATAATCGATTCTCAGTTGGAGGATATTTCGATCGAAGCGCGGGGTCGTCGCGACGCGTTGTTTTTCCGCTGCTCTTTAAATTTAACCAGCGTCGATTCGAAGTTCAAACGACAGGGGAAGAGAGAAGGGGAGGGTGAGCTTCGGAGAGTTGGAAGCAATAAAGAAGAGGACAGAGAAATCTCGCGTCCCGAGGATGAAATGACGGAACTTGGAAAGAATTATGAAGCGTCGAGGAGGAGCGCCGTGAAAGAAGAATCGACGACAGATCCCGGCCGTCAAAGCCAACGAAGAAGCGCACTTATCTTTAAGTGATTGATGTCGACTGGATCCCGGCGGAGGAATAAAAAGCCGCCTGTCGGATGATTTTTTAACGGGGCAACGATGTATAAAGGTGTCACGACATTCCCTCTCCTTCGCTGCGTGGGAAATATATCATGCTCCGTTAATAGGGTCGCCTAGTTACCGCCGGGAAAATAGACCGACGTTTGGGAAATTTATCAAGCTATTTACCAACTAACTACCCGGTTGCAACTTTCATTTTTAATTCCACGTAGCAAACTCCAATTCTAAATTCTAGCAGCTGGTGTCTATAATCTGCATTTAGCATTCGAACTTGTTTTTACGAATATAACACGCGCGTTATGTATTTATGACGTATGTCTTTTCGTAATTTTTAGATTTATTTCAAGCTTCATCGATGTAATTACGTCGGTTCGGTCGTAACGTTCATGAAATTTTAAAATATTTAGCATCGTGTTACACGCAATACAGAAGTCAGTCTATGAGAATATTTTCGCGAGACATTGTACTCGATATTTGATGCTTTATAAGAAACGTGAATGGGTCTCTAATTAAAACAGTTACCAGATATTAACGCTCTTCCTGCCAGAAAATTGACATTAGTGGAAGATCGTTTCAACGAATGAATCTCCGTCTGCGTGTCTACTTTCATGAAAACTTTCCACAAAAGTTCCCATCTATATTTATTGTATTTCTCCCTTTCTTTTCTTTTCTTTTCTTTTCCTTTTATTTACGCTCGTCGAGAAAGTTTCGCCGGATATATCCGAGCCATATAATTTCGGGCCAGTTTACGAACGATTATGAAAATTTAAATTCACACAGTCGAGTGTTGTAATTAGAAGTGGCGGGGAAAACGTTGGGAAAATGTATTTGACGAGTTTCGCGAGTGATTAATGTCCGCGGGATTTTCACGCAGGCCATCGCGACATCGAAACATCCACTAATTTGCTCGTTCGAAAGTTTACGATCGCGTAATGCGCGCAAGCATACCGTGACCCGCTCGCGTTACCATCGCAAGAGGACCTCGTGTAATTTGCACGTGGAAAAATTCAGTTTCGCAACTTCAATCGAGGCACCGTCTGAGGAGTAGGAGGTCGCAAATGCGATTTAAATGTAGCCGGCGCGTTATCTGCCGCCGAAACAAACGCGACGAGAAGAATAATTGTATTCGTAAGGAGCTAAGGAAATCCTCTTTGGAAAGTTCCGCAAAGTGTGAAGATTGTATTTCTAAATCCTCTGAAAAATTGGATCGATCGCGGCGTCTTGGCGTCTTGGCGTCTGAATTACGAATTTGTGTACGCTGTCTCGCTCTCGTCGCCAAGATGGTATTCCCAGTGTTATGAAATTAAAAGCGGATACTGGACCGCGGATTTTTATGCGTTCGTAGTTTGAAGTTCGAAGGCGCAGGAATTTACAGAAAATATTGCCAACTCCCAAACTATCGTCCGTCCAAGCTCCGTTCGTTGAATTATTTTTACAAATTTACAAAACCATAAATTTATATAAACATCTGCAGTTTGTTTATTACAGCAGCACAGTCCGCAGATCACGCCAGAGATTTGACGATGTGGGGAAAAAAGGGAAAACAGAGAAAAAAAAGAATTTTTTTTCGAAATGTTGAGATTAATTTTATACGAATAGCGGACATGGAAAAGCTTCCAATGAAGTTTCGATTGCATTGTCGATGCGTGTATATCAGCGCGGAGTGTCAACGCGCGAGCGTAGGGCGAGGACGCGCAATAAAACAGCAGAGGGCGATTTATCGTTTGAGTTTTGGTTGAAAATATTTTTTAATCATCCCCGACGTGTATGAAAATATCAAGTTATTCAGCTATTCCGTCCGTTGACGTTGTTCCGGCCGATGTCGGTGGGTTTCAGAGTCCCGATTGGTCGGGCTCACGCTCGCCGCTGGTGGAAATTAGACGGCGGGGAGTCTTCGAAATTTATCCGCGCGTCTATTAAAATCCCCGCGGCACAATGGCGAGGACAGCGTTGGAAACGGAACTAATGAAACCCCTTTCGCGCCGGTGTACTGTCACGACGGAAATAAACCTTCGGTTTTCCACTCCGTGCTCACTTACTTATTCGCGTCTGTTGCGAATGCGGCTCGTCGTAACCCTCCGGTTTGTCAGGATCTGAAAAGGAACAGTGGAGACAGTGAGACATCGGAACGACGTGCTGGACCATGTGCAAACAACAACTTTCTAACTACAATCTCACGTGTCGCGAACTGGTTGCTCTTAGTGGTTCGAATTGTCAAAATCGTAGATCGTTCTCGATCGCACGATTTGGAAATTCGTTTAAAATCCTATCTCGTCTTGGCAATGCGCGTATACAATTGATATACGATCATAAAAAAAGAAAAAAAATAGCACGTCCCCTCGAACTTTCCGAGCGATCTTGCTGATTTAACACGACCGAGCGTCGTAGATAATTCCTCGAGAGACGATTCAACCGGCTCTCGATCGTTCGCTCTCTCTCTTCCAAAAATTACATTCATATTTCCAAGTATTACCATATAATTAAAAATCGCTGGCTCGAATGCGGCGGGGAAATATTCAACGAGGTTAGGAGTCCGGCGAAGCTATTAAACGAAGGCCAGCTTAAGGACAATTCAATTTAGTGGGCGGATTTAAATAAAGAGGGGACGGGCCAGGAAGAAGAGAGGGAGAAAGAGAGAGAGAGAGAGAGAGTGGAACTGCAATTACCTCGCACGGACAGCTGAACAGCATACATCATTTTCGGCTCGGTGTTCACCTGGCATTCGTACTTGCCGGAGTCTGTCTTCCTGGCGTTGTCCAGCCTGAGTGTCCACGCGTCGCTACCCGGTGTGTGCTGAGGCCCGAATCTCGTGTCCGAGCTGAACAGGGTGTTCCCGGACGTGAGAATGTGAAGATCCTTGCTCCTCATCCAGGACACCTGAAACAAGGCCGCGGACGCCGTTGAAATTACACCGTAATGGAATTACGCCGTCCGGTGTTAAACACGGAGAGTCGCCTTCGACTCCCTGTGCAAATACTTCTTAATTACTTTTCTCGATTAAGGGAAACGATTGCTTTTGCCTGGCTTTTCGACCTTTGGAAACTGGAGCGAGCGAATTTGTCGAAATTCATGCTCAACGATCGAGACGAGAGCAGCTCCGAATCGTGTAAGATTTACAAAATTTTACGAAAATTCAAACGCCTGAAGCGTAGACTCAGAATTTTCGAACAATCTCTCCCGGCGTCGAGATGAGAATTTACGGGAACAAAGGCAAAGGGAAAAATTCGGCAGAGACAATGGCGCGGCATTAATCAGTTTCGTGTCATTTAGATTCGTCGGTACGCGTACGAATGCGAACGCGGTTGCCTCCCTCGAGACTGCAGCAGACTACGAGAGGCAGAGGAACGCGCACTCGCGCCCCGTAAATCAGCGCACTGTTACGACTTATTTCCTTTCCGCCTCGCTACTTTACACCCGTGTTACGAGCGACGTAATACATAACATAGTAACGTGTTACGACGTCGTTACCTTATGGCCGAGATAAAGGATAGAGACTGTTAAAAAGAAAGTTCCGGCCGCGGCGGCCGGGTGAAAGAACGTCGTGAAAAAAAAAAAGGGAAGGAAGGGAAGAGACGAGGAGGAGTTTGATGGAGCGACGCGTGAAAATCTCGATGGTTCGGTGAAAATGCAAGCGAGTGCAGGCGAAACGAAAGAGATGGCGAGGGAATGTAGTCTCTCGTAGTCTCGTTTTCTTTCAGGTAAAATTTTACTCGTCAAGAGTCGAGAGTCCGAGGATTGACATTCACGCCGGCATAGTTTCATTAGCCGGCAGGCTTGTTTCAACTATTTAGTCGCCGAACTACGCCGCGGTCTGAGTTTACAATGTACAGTGGTCGATTACTCTTTCCTACCGCGGAGAAATGAAAATCGCGATCTTTTTACGTCACTGGCAACGCGCCATTAATAAAACGCAGCAATGAACCGGTCCGGCAACTCGGCCGGTAGTTAGGAGCCACCTTTGACATATCTTATTGCTCCGGGCTAAATAATTAATCCTCCTGCCCCCCCCCCCCCTTTCCGTTTCCACTCCGTTGTTCAGCTCGGAGACGAGGAAAGAAGGGGGCTGCAACGGGGGGAGTGGCGAGTAATGGGAGTTTACTGATTACTCAGTTAAATTCACGAGTTTCCCAACTCGCGAACTATTTCCTACAGAGAAAGCCCCCCCCCGCCCACCCCGCAACTCAGTTCATCAATTCTTATGAGTTTTCCTCCTGAACACGCCGGATGCGTCGCCGTGAAGAATTTGATCCTTAATTCGATTCGTCTGCCGCTGGCCGAGGACGACTGCACACCCCTGCTGCTCGAAACTTTTGTCTGTTTCAACAGCGACGATATACGAAACGAAAGTTTATGCAACAAAGAATCAATAAAGTGTTAACACCATATCGACGTACCGTTGACTTCCTATCGTTACGATGGGAAGAAACTATATGTGTTAATTTTTTTTCATAAAAAAATTACTTTCTCCTACAATATTGGTCATCAACATTGGTCATCAACATCGCCACTATTAATTGTCGCGCCCGAGTTTACATTCTACCTTCTCGATGCTTTCGATATTTTCAAAATTTTAAAGTTACGACAACAAATATCAGGCTTTTGCGATACAATGAAGCCTCAACTGCAACTGAAGTAAAATATGTGCAATTACTGCACTTAATGACGTCATCCGTAGATAAGGTGTTAATATGCATGTTAATATACATATTAATTGTACTCGATAATCCACGGCACACGCTAAATAATTCAGCTTAACAGGAAGAAGCTTCTTCAAGTTTGACGCAAGTGTTCGTAGTTCGATTAGCCAGGTGCCTCGGTGAAAAACGACTTAATCGACGAATAACAGGGTGTTAATAATGCAGGGTACTTAGGCGAGGCGGCGACGCGTCCTACCGGAAAGATACGAGGAGCAAGCAGAGGGAAGAAGGCATCCGGTTTGCAAGGTAGCCTCTACATAATTCCCTCTGATTATCCATTCCCTTTTCGGACTCTCGTTCGTCTTGTTACCAGCGGAAGTTTGCGCGATCCTCGTCGACGAGTAGCGCGAACCTCTGGTACCGAGGACGCTTCAGAAAGGCGCGCCAAGTTGCTTTTTTCCCTCTCGTTGCGATTAATATTTCGCGCGATCCTCGAAACGACGACGCGCAGCTTGAAATGGCCAAAAAGAAAGGGCGTAGCTTCGTCGAGCTTTCGTGGCAACTGCCGAAAATACTGCACGAAATCTGCTCGCAGTAGACCAGCGGAGTTTGTTCAACATCTTCTTTTCTTTTTCTTTCGTTCATTTTCGTATCCACCGAGGTGAGATTTCCAAGTATCGCGACACGAAAGAGGGGTTTGCTGTAACGATCAAATATGGTCAGTGAATATCGTCAGCTTATCCGATCGTTCGTATTTTTCAACGTTGCGCCAGATCGAAACGGTGGGATATTAGATATCCGACTATCGGACTGCGGTCATTTATGATCCGCATCCAGTTATCATTTTCCCCCATTGGTCGTTCCGCGGGAATGCGAGAGTATGAACGATCGACCCGAATGATTTGTTGTCGAGGACCAGAGAAAGAGGGACGAACGAGAGGTAGGAGGGGGGGAGGAAGGAAGTGGCAGCGAAACGGCACAGCGTGCAAGACGAAGAATCTAAATTGCGATCGTTGCGTTCGCGCGAGCGGCCTGGCGATTTTTAATAATATCCACGGGTACGGGATCGAGGCGAGGGTCGCGCGACGTTTCGTTTCGCGGAACCGCGGCGATGCAATAATCCAACGGTGACAAAAAGAGATACCGGTCGCTGGCTCGAATACATTCAGCCAACCGTAAATTTATCGCCGTTATTAAAACAACCGTGGCGATACGAGCAACGCGCGGTGCCCGCCGAACGAGCCGTGGATATTATTCGGAGAGGCGAACAAAAGGAGCTGGGATTAATCGGTAATTAAATCGACGCCAGGTAAACCGCAATGCGTCCGATACGCCCGCTTTTTATCCACCTTCTTCCACGCTATTCCACCATCGTTTTTCTTTTTTCTTTTCTTCTTTTTTTAACATCGCAGCGGTAAGCTGGAGAGATGTAATGGCGGATTAGTAATTGAAGTTTCATCAAGTTTGTTCTTCAAAGATCAGACACTTGAAATTTGAAGGCACTCACGACGTGAACTTGAGAAGGGTATCGGTAGTCCGCCGAGTTCCACGTAGTTGTGGAACACGGTTCCAATTTATTACGCAGCGATCGTAAAAAGTAAACGAAGGGCCGTAAAGAACAACCGTCTCGAAAATCCGAGCTTGTACGTACACGCGGGAGGAGGGGGAAAATCGCTCGGTCACACTGTCGAAGGTAAATCGATGCAGACGGCGCGCAGGTTCGCTGAAAATCCGGTGTCGGACGTAACGAGAAGAAAATTCAACGCCGCGTGCGGCTGATTTATACAATAATAACGTAAGCGGCACACGGGTAGAGCGTAATGGTCCACGGTATGGAGAGAGAAAGAGCGAGAGAGAGAGTGGCGCGGAAGGGTGAGTCGTAACATTAAGGGGTGAGAAGAAATGTACAGCGTGGCAGGGGCCCGGGTGTATCACGGCATTTGGTCGAATGCCAGTTTACTCGAGTATACGAGTCGGATGGCACCAGAAATAGAACTGGCTTTGAGGTCGTCGCGTACGTAGGAGGGCGAAAGATGGAAAAACCAAGGTGGGCCGAGAACAAGAAAGAGAGAGAGAGAGAGAGAGAGAGAGAGAGAGGGTGGTTTGCTCGCGAAGCTGCCGGGTAGACAAAAGGACGGGGCAATATACGAAGCCGGCATAACCGCTTTCATCTGCTACGTCGACAGAGACCAGAGGAGGCGGGGGGGGGGAATAAAAATGCAACCTCCTACCAAGTCGTTTCGCCGCAACCTTACGAGCCTCGCTGCTCGTTCGTAGCGCTACTCCTCCGGAGGAACCGAGTTACCTTATGGCCGGTGTTCAGCTCGCACCAGAGCAAACGCACATTGCTACGCCAGCGACACGATCCCCCTTCCCCCTCCTCCCCTTCTGCTCGAATGTTTCTTAAATTAGACCACGTTTCCGCGTCGCCGCGAGATCGGCCTCGAAAAATTTTCACCACTGCTTGCAACAATTTCCACGGTTGCATCCACCGCGGGCTGCAACGTCTGCTCGCTTCGAAATGAAGCTTTTTTCTCGGGTCGGGGTGAGATTCCGTTGCCAAGTGGAGGCTGAGCCTTTGGATTCGACTGTTCCGTTTTATCGCGCGAACACGAGTCTGACTGTCACTCGGAAGGAAACGTTTCATCGTAGCCATGTATAAAAGGAAAGTGTTCGTAAAATTTGTCGTTGTCGTTTGTTAAATTTTAACTTGACGATTTATCATTTTAATGATTCCCCCTGAAATAAACGTAGCTAGCAATCGTGAACTTTTGTCGTGAACGTTGTCTCGGAAGACGCAGTTTTATTTCTCCTTCGCCTGGTTGCCAAACTTGCCAAACCAGCTCGTCGCTCCCCGATTTGTAACACTCGCGAGATGCTTCTCCTCGTTCGGAGGGATGATTCAGAGATTAACGCGAAGTCGCAGGAGCATAGTAAGATAGTTCACAGAAGCTTGAATCGATTGTGCTCTGGCTCTTTGAGAGCTCTCGTGGAGAGTCGGTGCGAGGGATGATGTATCGAAAGAAGGGTCGGCTGGAGATGAATGAAACCACGGATCCGGAAAGCGCGATAGATTTTCACTGTGCCCCTGTATTGTAACAGGTGGTAGAAACCCCGAGGATCCTACCCTCGGTGAATAGAATTTGTTAGACGACTACGTTTTCAAGAAAGTTAGCCTCGGTTCGTTGCGTGGTTGTTAACCAAGTCCTCGTGACTTCGGATATATTGTTGACTTTTCAGTAATAATTCCCCGGGGATTTAGTCCGCGCGAACGCCCGACTCCGCCGAAATTCGAGAACAAACCGGACGCCGGGTTTCGCGATCACTTTCTTCGTTTCGCGGGAGGAAATTGAAGAAACAACTAGTCACTAAGTGGCTCTCGCACGGAACATCCCTCGATCCTCCCGTTGCAAACGTTGACAAGGAAGTCACTCGATGAATAAAGTGTAAACTACCTTTCGGCGGCAGTTGCCAAAGTCGGAGGTCGAAAGTTGAGGAAAAGTGCCCGCAGCCAGCAAAAACGCCCGATGGAGTGGGAAGCGAAGTTCCACGTTGAACCGTCGATGAGTCGTACAATCGAATCGCCGCCGCCGTTTCTCCGGGGCTAAATTATTTACTCTCTGTTCGGTAATAAGAAACGATAAGAATCGCGCCCGGTGGTCTTTCTTTTCTGCCAGAGCCGCCATCATCCAACACGCTTTTGAATCGGACACACGATGAATGGAACCCTGTCGGATAACAACCGAAACGCGAGACGCGTGGAACTATAGTTTTTCGTTTGTTAATTGTCCGTTGGCGATAGAATTGATTCTTATTCATTTCATTAGAGTGTAATAAATTTTGTTTTTTTTTTTAATTAAAGCCATTTTTGAATTAAAATATAGTGACTGAGAATCATCACAGATTAATCAAGTTTCATCGAGACGTTTATTACAGTCTTTTATGATTTCTAGAATTGTACTCGTAATATTCTGCTCAGAAGATTTCATTGCGTTACTGGTTCGAGCGGATGTGAATCATTTTTCCTTGCGAGTAAAAAAACTGATCCGACAAACGCAAAGGGAACACCGGGTAAAACGTGAAATAATTAATAAATCAGATGGGCGTGGATATGCGTGGATATAATTGATATTAAAAATTTTCATTTAGAACCGTTTATATTCATCTCCCGAGCCAGGATTCATTACGAAAATAACGTAATTTAATTGACGCAAAGAAATACGCGTCAATTCGAACGGCGCCCTGATTAAAAACTTCCATTTGAAAATAATTCATGTTATAAATTTCCAATTTAAAATAATTCGTCTCTGTCTGGCGACCGTTTAATCATTGATCGAGGGAATATTCAATTTCTGGAAAGAGATATCTATCTACCTTCTAATATTTCCGTACCGTTAATATTTTCCCTCATTTGAGTAACCTTCGACAAAAATGAAAGGAACGAAAGCAAAGAAATAAGACACTGCGTGTTTCAGTACAGCATAGCAGAAAGAGAGGGGGAAGTCGATAATCTTTTGCGTCGACCGATACGAAAATGCTTGCCGTCCGTTTTTTAATCCGATTTCGTTTATCGAGGAAAGTCGAATATCGTTCGTGAAAAAAATTGCGTCGCCGACGCGAGAAACGACATACACAGCTCGTCTATCCGTCAAAGCGGATTACGCGAACTGGCTAGTGCCGCTCGTTGGTGATTTTTTTTCTTTTTCTCCAGCTTTCGACAACCACGGCCGCTTTCGAAATCGTCCAAGGCCGAATAATTAACTCGACGTATCGATTATAACTCTCGGAGGATAGGAAACATTCGTACAAATAAAATTTCAGGCAGAATAAATCAAACTCCCTTCTCTGTTAATTTATCAATAGACGGTGAATGATTATACACTCGTAGAAAGAAAGAAAGAAATTTCCACAAACATTCGTGGTTTCTTTATCACAGAAAGTAATTTCTTTCTTTTTTTGCGAAAACTTCGTTACGTTTTTCTTTTTTTTTTTTTCCTTTTTCTGTCTACGTGAATGAACGAGTGATCGATGAAAGAAAATTTCGAAGCGACCAAACGCGGTGTAAAACGTTCATTAGAAACTCAATTTAATGGAAAGAGGCTATTGCGTTATTTGATTAAGATCAATTTTTTAACAGGCGCCCATCGGGGTCGTTGATGGGGAATGTGGGCGCGGCATAAACCTGACCTCGACTAACCTAAACTAATCGGTGACCAACAACGATCCTGGGTCACAGAGCTTTTATCGATTACCTTTCTTCCGTTACACGTTGCTCCAGCCTAGACGGTAATACTGTTCGATTAACCATGCTCCTCTGATATTTCGTTCAACTCGAAACCTCGCTCGGCGACACTTCAAAAATTGCGGAGAAACCCGACGCTGTAATTGTCCGACCAAACGAAACCAAAACTACTTGTCCCATGAAAATTCATTCCGAGAGAAATGTTTAATGATTTTATTTTTTTTATTTTATGACATCAAGATCGCGCATCTACGCACGTGCGCTCAAAAGTAATTCAACTCTTCGACGGAAGATTTTCCTGCAAGTTAAACAAAACCAGTGCATCCACTGTCCGTTCATTGAAAAATCTTTTCCTGCGATTTCAAAAAAGATAAAATCTCAAAGACCGGCTTTACGTCCGTCATGAAATCGAAGGTAGAAGTACGAACATCGTGTCCCTTATCCTCTTCCATGTGATCGAAGAGAATTCGAGCGCGCAAGAGCCACGGAAGTACCAGGCCATTTGCGTACACGCAACCAGGCCAAGAACCGGTCACAATTTTACCTCGTCGACTGGATTTCAAGGTTTCCTCAGTCCTCCAATTATCAAGGTTCTCTAGCTAGAGTTTCTTTTCTTTTTCAAGTTTTTCTCTGGGAAACTGGTGGAAACTAAATTTGCTAAACTATCCTGTCGTGTACGATAGAAAGACACAATCCTTCAAAAATTATCGCGATCAATCGAATTTCGCGGTGTACGTTAACATCAATGGAGTTATCCCGTCGTGAAATTTGCGTTCGAGAAACCGCAGGGAAAGAAAGGAGATAAACGCAGAAAAATTCCGGGCTGGGTGAAAAGCAGTGGGTGGATGGTAGTAGCATTCTCTCCGAGTGTGCGATGAGGAGCTTGGAGCGCGAGAAAAGGAGGCGACGTTTCGCGATAAATTACGTTTTCAGCCGAGTCGCCAGGGAGGGAGGGGAGAAGTTTGGAAGCGGCTCGAATTATCGTCATCGTCATCGCTGACATTCCGCTTCCTCCGCGCGGAGAAAGCGCGCCATTCCGTGAGAATTATCCCGGCCGCGAAGTAACGGCTCGCATCTAGGCCATGAATTTATCATCCTCGCGGCGCAATCTCGCCGGCTCCAGCACCACCTTAAGGCGTGTATTAATTTTTCAAGCGGCGCGGCACGCTCGCGATTTAAAATTCACCTCAGTCTAAACAGAGGCTAATGCCGAACGAGTCTACGTAATTATACGATCGTGTAAGATTTATTTCTCCTTCTCTTCGTTTCTCTTTGCTCGTTTCCTTTCTTCGTTCTTGCTCGTGTCACGCGGCCGTCACTTGCGCGGGAGAAATTTTCGAGAAGCCGGAGGAAAGAAGAAGGATTTTGTCACTCTGAGGAGAAAGAGGAGAAAGAGGGAGACGCGAGCCTAACTGTCGGCACAGTTTCTTGGCGAACTAACTTCATTAGGACATCAAAGATGCGTCGGAGAAATTGCGTCGCGACACAGAAGTGTAAAGCGAAGGGGAGAAAGGCGCGGCAGCGAAGGAAAAGGAAGAAAGAGGAGGGAAAAAGGAATATCATCTCTGTAATTTCGCCCGAAGCGGCTGGATGGAAATACGAGCGCGAGTGAAACGAAGTGCGCGCAGTGGAAGTGAATTGTAATTGTCAGACACATGTTCCGAGGAAAAGGAAATTTCCTTTTTATTTATTTAACGCGCGCTGTATGTACAGTTGCATCCATAAAAAGTTCTTACGGTAGTATGAAACATCTCGCGAGGCTCGTTACGAATACATTCACCCAAAGTTTTCGTATCCGCGCGCGGTTGGAGCTCGAGCAGACGTACGTTCGTCTTTGACCTGTCATTAATATTGTAACGAGGTAACCAAATGTAAGTAGAAGTACAGCGAACGTGCACGTAGTTAAAAATTGATGCAGAACACAAGCAGTAATCTTAAATGTGTAATTACAGTTCCACTGTATATAATATTTAAACACGTAGAATTGAAGAACGCACGTTTGCATAAAATATTATGTGGCCTCGAATTAACAACCAGTAATTATGATAGTCAGGCTTCGCTGGTGCACCAACGAAATTTTAAAATGCATCGACGACATTCGTGAGTCGCTGTAATTTCTTACGTTCGAGACGAAGGAATACCAAGTGATAGTAAAATCCGCAATCGCGAATGCAATTACGGATTCGCCTCGCGTAATCACTGCACGAAAAAGGCGTGAAATGAAAGGAAAGTTTGCGAGCTAGTTCTGAGAAAGGGAATAACAGGTTAGGCGTGTAGCAACCATGGTTTCCGTGGGGTTTAGACGGTTGAACAGCGAATCCAGTATGGCTGCCTGTCTCGGGTAAATGGAGGGCACGAGGGGCTACGCGTGCACCCCTCGTGACTCTCGCATTTTGCATACTGATGAGCCCACTTTCAAGCCACTTCGCCTCCCATTTCCTTTCTTCCAACGTTTCCTTGTCACTTCTCAAGTTTCTGCTGCCTGCAGCCCTGTCAACATTACGCCGCCTCTTGATAATTGCCACGAGAATCGAGAAAGAAATGTAATTCTCTCGCTTCTTCCCTTCCCTCGCCCTTCGAAAATCCCTGCAACTTTTATTACAGTGTTACGTTTCGTTTCGTTTCGTTTCGTTGCCTCCTTTCTTTTCTCTAATTGTTGCCCAAATGTCTCTGCAAAATCTCTGCCATTTT